TTGACATACTGGGAGGAGGACAGGAGGATTTTAGAAATGAATAATTGAGATCAAATGTGAAAATAATTTAGCCGAGCTACTAATATTCTTCCTGCAAAAAATGCCAAAAATCTTCCTGTCCTTCCTTACAAAAGCCAAACAAACACCTAAAATCAAATGGTCGACCCTCGTCCCCTATTCGTCGGTTTTATGTTAGCGTATAGCACCAGTATAAGAACAGGAAGGAAATGAAGAGTTATATTTTAAGACAAAAAAAATAGCCATATATTTAATGTCTTTAGCTTTCAACGTTATCGCGACACAACACGTTTTTGTTGTTGTAAATTGATATAGATGTCTCAAACCATACTTAGCTGTGAGGGTCTCGTTATAATGTTGTCTCGATAGATGGCAGGTTTATCTGTGTACCGATGAGACATTAGCCATTACGATACTTGTTAGAGTTTGGTACTTCTTAACAATCACAACTATGGCAATCAAAAGTTCGGTAATCTTATCATGGATACTCGATATATCTCTATCTAACCATGGAAGTGTCAATATAAAACATGTAAAAATACTTCCATGATCTAACAAACCAATCGACTTCAACTTTTTATGGATGCATTTTGTGTGAACGTATAGCAAAAAAGTACTAATGGTTATAGACAAAGAACTCAGTTTTAACTTTATCCATCAATTGAGGATGGACTGCATTAGAATAACGCTTGTTTTTGATAGAAAAAATTTAATTCTTTTGATAATAATTTTGCTCTTTTTGCAAACGTTATTAAGAAAAATGATGACAGAGAAGTTATTTGATATGAAACTACCTTATGACATATAATGTATATTGAAAATTAGAATACAATAAAAACAATTTAAAAAAAGGGATCCAATTACAATGTAAAGCTAACTTTTTAGAACGACCAATCATAATTATGCACATAATGTTTTGCGACAACACTGAATATTATTTAAATAAACATTTTGATAAAAGCGGTACAATACAATAACGAATTATACAAGTTTCCAGGATTTGTTTCTTTTCAAACCATCTCGTATATCTTGCAGCTAAGCTACAAAGCTAAAACGAAAAATAAAACCATCCACGACTAAATCAAATGTCAGTCCGCATTTTGTAGTACTTGTATGGTTTGTAATATGAATGTTATTCATTTGCCTGAAAGCGTATAATCAGCTTTGTAAACAGTGTAAAATGAAAGTGCAGTAATTAACAAGATGCATATTGACAACAAACACCAAAACAAACAGAAATCAATAGTGGAAACATATTCTTTCCATGTAATGTAAATTTGGGTTTCCTTTTCGTCGTTCTTAACCTCCGTTGATGTGTTTACACTTTTCCCTCTCTTATAGGTAACAACGCGCTTTAATAGACATGACGAAATAGATGTCTGTCCATTTCGAGCACACAATCGAGATAATAAGGCCGAAAGCAACACAACCAGTGTGCTTTGGAATAGCTGCATCACTATAAATATGTCCATAAAAGATATGGATTCCGAACTCTCTGGAAGAGACTGTCCAACAATAGTAAGAAACACACCGAAGGACAACCAAACGGTTACCGTGTAACCCATGCGTTCGCCACTATCAGCAGGTATTGCAAATGTAAACAAATTCAAAAGGGATAAAAGGACTAATGGGAGGACTAAATGTAGCATTATATACAATGGTTTCCTCTGTAATGTAATAGAAAATATTACTTGAGATTCCTCATGGTACTGTGTTGTACTTGCTGAGGTGGAAACAACCGTCCAAATTGTATTTTCTTTTATTGAGCGCTCTAATGCGATTCCTGTTACGTTTTTTATAAGAAGAGAAACATCGTCTATACCCATACTCCAAGCTCCGAAAACAAATTCGCAAGTTTGCCTGTCGAATGGAAAAAACGTCATAGAGACTGGACAGTATGAATTAAATACTTGAAACGGTGTCCATCTCACATTACCATCATGTTTAATTGTCGCCAATATCAAATCGGAACCGAGCTCTCTCATCTCTTTAAAACTATCCTGTAAAGTGATGTCAGGTTTCCAAATCTTTGACTGAGGAAGGTAAATATAATCCAAGTATCCATATTGTGTTCGGTCCCATGTTAGGAATTCATCATGCCAGCTTATGTGAAGATATCCAATAGTTGTTAATCTTTGTTGAACTTCATCAAGTGTAATTAATGAGTTCAAAGTCAATTCAACATTAACGTAGATGGTACTCTTATAATCCTTGACAGGCTTTGAATCTTTATCATATTCATTTGTAACGAATAACTCCTTTTTCAGAGCTTTGAAATCGCTTGAGTTTTGGCATAAAGAAAAACTGACAGTAGAAAAACAAATGATAAAAACAATCATCTCTAATCCTTCCACAATAAAGTTATTATGGATAATCTTCCAGGCAACGAAATAATCCTGGAATGCGACTTTTAAATATTTCACACTTTTAAATTGTAATTTAAAATGATCAATATCATACATTTCTGACATTTATTAAATTTATTAATTCCAACAGCTTTTATTTTACGTTCAAAAACAAAAATAATTAAATAATCCGGTTTGCACTTACATCAATATGATGTTATTAAAATATCTCATTACAATATCAGACAAAACGTGTATTTCATTTATTATTAATAAACTCATCGTAGATACCAGGATTAAAATTTTGTACGCCAGACGTGCGTTTCGTCTACAAAAGTTTCATCAGTGACGCTCGAATTAAAAAGTTATAAAGGCCCAAAAATGAACGAAGTTAGAGATCATTAACTTAATGTTTTATCTTCTGATGATGAAGTTAAATTGTACAAAATTGACATAATCCATCTAACAATTTGGGGATTAGCTTATGTTTATCGAAAACATATTCTGTAAGATCGTAACTTTATTTCAAAGAAAGGACATTTCAACTTTTATATGTTTGTTTTTTTTTGTGTCATATCCTTGTATCCTTTTTGTAAAACTACATTCATACATACGTAGATACACACGAGAGAGAGAGAGAAAGAGAGAGAGAGAGAGAGAGAGAGAGAGAAGAGAGAGAGAGAGAGAGAGAGAGAGAGAGAGCTACTGAAGAATTTTTTTGCCATATTATAATTTTACTCACAAGTTTAAATTATAGTAAAAACATTTAACACAATCCAAGAAGCGAAACAGGAATAAATAATCATGCTACTTTGTTGTCAGAAGCGTGAAATGATGTTGTCCATCTGTTACATAATTTGTTTGCAACTATTAGTTATTAACGGTCTGTGAACAACAGTAGGCAACTGCTAAAATTTCACGTCGAATACTTTAAAGGCATGTTGTACAAGTATAAACCAATGCGTTTTGCCAAGAAGGTGTCAGATTTATCAAATTAAGAGTATGGTAAATATTCTATAAAATTTCGAAATCAAGTGTAACTATGATATTAAATATGTAAATCGCGGGAAAGGGCGAATATTTTGACATAAGCAGCCAACCCACACAATAATAATATGCCTACTATCGTTCTGTTAATGCATGATACATTTGTAGTTGTTTACATAAATTAGACTGTCGCATAAAAACTTAACATTATATATTATTTATCATTAAACCTTAAAACAGGGAAAATAGGAAATCGAATCAATTTATGTTTATTTTCTTATTCGTGGCCTCAAACGCAAATAAAGTATTTATGAACAAAACTCAAACACATATCTATGGGAAACAGCTCGCCTATACGAGTGCAGCAAAGTTTTATTTTCTAATAATACAACTGTCCTCAATCACTTTGCCAGCACACTAAGAACGCTGCAGCATACATGTCTTACAAACATATCTACAATGAAAAAAAAATGAAATAGAATCTTTCATATCACAAAACAATATTTACATAATGTTCTTTTAAGATCTGCAGAAAAAACGTAATGCGTTTACAATAATTATAAATTAATACAAAACATGTTTACAAGGGGGGAGGGAGGGGGAAACTTTAATGCACTAAGACTGAGCTTCGAATGGTCAAACTATGAAAATGTATTTTCAATGTAAACTTTTACAACGAATGACCAGTCCGTGCTATCATACGAAGAAACTTTAAACTCTTAACTTTGTTAAGGTGACTTATTGTTATGCTAAAATACTTTAAATATTATTGTAAACATGAACACATGTTCCCAATATAACAACAAACCCATGTGCTATCGATAGTTAATAAATACATTTAGAATCTACATTTCCCATAACTTTATTTACATGAAAAACAGAAATGAAAATGTTTCAAGTAAAGTAAGGAGTTGTCCGTATTTTGCAAGCAAAATTTTCAGGAACAATGGGTTATGACTGGGAAAATGGCGTTCTTTTTCTACGAATATAGTAGAATATAGCTGAACGATGAACAGAAATGATTTACTTGTAAAATACACTTGACCTGTAAACGAATGGGGACACAAAGTCCCACCTCGTCGGGTGAAATTAATGGAGTAGCACACCTATGTGACACCTTGAAAATGCAAAGATTTTGGGTGTTGTAATCGACAGGAGGTGTTTCCGGTCGTGTTGAGCGTAAAGTTGGATATAGGATTACGGATATCACTAATTTTGAACCTTGTAGACACATACGTTTATGTTGTAGTCGTAGGACATTTTCATATTAAAACATTTTGTAAATATTATGGTGTTAAACATAATTATATCTTAGTATATTATACATATAAAGGAAAAAGAAAATATTAACTTTACAGATTAATTGTGTTAAACCTCCATTGTAATGAGATGCCCTTTAATAAGCTTTCTTGTCTGTTTCACACTCGATTAAGTATTGTGAATACTGTATTACCTTAAAAATATTTACAAAACTTACTTCACATTATTTCATACGGGATTTAATTTAAATGTGATTGGTAAAAAAGTTTTCCAAAATGTGCTCTTTCATTATGATATTAGCATTTCTACTAATTGCCAATGCTGATGAACAGACAGAGGATAAATCTAAAAAAGATGCATACAAATCTTTACGGGAACTAATAGAAAATGTTACAACGGGAAGAAATAAAGAGGTCAGACCAGTCAATAACTGGGACGAACCTGTTATAGTTTACTTTTATTTTCATATGACTTATATTCAGGAGTTCGACGAAGTTGCGGGTAAATTAAGCTTAAATGGATATTTCGGGATACAGTGGATAGATAATACTGTATCATGGGATCCTAGAGAATATGGAGTTTCTTCCTTTACTTTCAATGAAGATCTATTTTGGAAACCAACATTTATAATGTCAAATCCGTATGGACCACAAAAAATATTATATAAAGATGATAGTGTAAAAAGGGTGCATAGTACTGGTCGAATTGATTGGTTTCCTAGCGATTCATTCGATATTTCATGCCAAGCTGACGTTACAGATTATCCATTTGATACACAAACATGCACTTTAGCATTTGTTTTATCAACATTTGACGAGAAAGAGGTAATTTTATGGCCAACGGCCTTTTTAACTGAGTGGTTTGTTCCACATAAAACGTGGGACTTGGTTGAAACGAATCTGACCAGAATTCCTTCTCCACAGGTGGCAAATTTTCATATTAGACTGAAGAGAAAGCCTATGTTCTTTGTTTTCAATCTTATACTGCCAATAGTTCTTATGTGTATTTTAAATCCCTTTGTGTTCCTGCTCCCAGCAGATTCAGGAGAACGGGTTGGATATTCCATAACAGTATTATTGGCCATTGCAGTATTTCTTACGATTTCTGCCTCTGGTCTTCCGGCTATCTCAGACCCACAAATACCAACATTATCTATTCTTCTGTTTGCTGACGTCGCTTTTAGTGGCGTTATTGTTTTATTAGTCATTATAAGTCTACGTTTTTATCTGCGTAATGAAAATATTCCCGTTTCATATCTTGGGGAAAAATTTGTGAAGTTTTGTCGTGTTCTACGATGCGGTTGCTGCTGCAAAAAAGGGAAGAAAAGTAACAGTAAAATAGACGAGAACGCAAACAAACATGGAACCAATGATAGTGTCGATATCAGTGAAATAAAACTCTACGGATCGGAGTGCCAGTATCGAGGAACTAATAGTGTCGAAATCAACTTTATTACGTCTAAAGATGAAATTACATGGAAAAATGTCGGAGAAGAACTTGACTTTGTTTTTGGCACTTTCAGTGCTCTTTATATGGTAACAACACATTTGTTGTATATTCTTGGAACTGTTTTAGAGTTTTCTTTGTTTTCATAATGTCTTTATAACAATAATTAATGTATCTACTTCCTACCACGACATTAAAACAATTATATTTTGTCATTTATAACATATAATATTACAAGACAATATAAAGATAATTTGAGGATTATGCACCCTTTTGTGTTGTTTCAATTCTACGAATATGGAAAGCTTAAAGGAAATCGACAGACATCTCACTTGTACACTTAAATTATCAAATTTGGTAATTAATCAATGAAGAATTACTGAATGCAATGCTAACAATGACTTTAATAAGAGAAGTATCTCAAAATATATTCTGATTAAAAAGAAATACAAATACGGACATATTTAAATGCAATTTCTAGGGCTCGACTATAGTGACTCATCACGAGGTGTTTTGGATTGTAAAGGTAGTTAAGCATTTTTTGTCGACAATAAACGTTTAGCATATTATTGAAATACTAGATGGTAATCTATTTTAAACATGCTAAAAGGAATATCTCTGTAGGGTTTCTGTAAAAATCTTAGATTGATTTGCCACACAATCCAATGCAATGCAATGAAACAATAAATTGTATTGCTCTGAACATTTGTTCAATGTGGTATGTGTACAAGATAACAGTAACAAACTTTCAAGAACACATACGTCCTATGTTCAATTTATTAGTATTTGTTCTATGTACGTAGACAATATGGACAATATCTAAGCCCTTATTTTACATGCAGCTTTGCGCAAATTAATTTTGATTGGTACTGGTAATGAATTCACTGATCCCTTTAGTTGAGCAGTAATAACTATATCGTTTATAATAAATTCAAGAAGAACCTAACACAATTCAAATAATAATTCGAAGAAAAACAAAAAATCAAAGTCGACCGAATCAGACAAACAACCAAACAACCTTCGTCGAACTGAAAATTACTCAGAAAACTAAAGCTGAGCAACATGAACACATCCTTTCAGGTTGAACATTGCTCGTTGTTTCTGAAGGTTGAGCCGTTTCTATTTTAATTGCCTTACTTGTTGCACCGTCGTGAAGGTCATAACAAAAAGAAAGTAGAAATCAGCCCATTCAGTGACATCATACAAAACGAAAGGAGAACTAGATTGTTGATCATATATATGATCCTTCGAAGTATTGAACAGATTGTTGTTTACTTGTTGTTGATATATAAATTGTTCCATGAAATTTTGTTGAAGAAAGCATATATAATTGCATTTATTTTCCCTCTTTATTAAGTATAAGCGTTTACATTGATAAGCATTGATCCGTTCCGTCAAGTTATTATTAATAAATGTTACCTTTTTCTTAATGTTGGACAAACAACAAACAATCAATCAACTAATTACTTGTACTGAGAGCAATCCACCATCGTTGACCCGAGGAAAGTTTGAAAAACAGTTTTGTTAACGTAAACCAACCAAAACGTCGGAATGACAAGTCTTGGTAATAATTTAGATGTTTGACCGTTTTTACACTCATATACTAGTTGGAGCCCTATTTATATATAACTAAACCTTTTAAGAAAAGATTAATTTAATCGTTTGGACAATTAGATGCAAACGCTACAAACCGGAAAGACGCATTTTAAGCCAGATTTAATTTAGAGAAAATTGTGCAGCACATGAATCTCAACTTATTCAGGTCATAATGGAATCTTCGTTGAGTTCTTTGCAAAAGGTGAGCTAAGAATCCGATATTTGAACTAAGAAGATAGGAAATAAGCAAACGTTCCTAACGCATTTGTTTCTAGCCCTTTACGGTTTGAATGTAAAATTGTAAGCATTGGAATGAAATGTTGAGATAGGGATGAGTCAATAAATGATTTTGTTTAAATCAAGACGATAGCTTGGTATTTTATCTCGAGTCATTACAGACAAATAAGTTTTTTTACAACTACGTTATAAAAGCGTACATTTTAAGTTTCAAAAGGCGTTTATATGTATATTTCTAAAGTATTATCTGAAATGAGGATTGTTAAATTGTGAATATGTGTAATGAAAAATATCGAACTTTCTATTGCATTTAATATTTATTTGAAGTGCTAAAACCCTAATGGGTTTCCTGTACTAAGAAACATTTGAATTGATTTGCAATGATTTGTTAGGGTAAACCAATTCAAATACGGTTGATAAATTGTGTGGATTTTGATTCAGATCAAAATGGTTCAATAGGTTAAAAGGAATTCAAATAAAGTCAGATTTAATGTAAATAAGAATTTAATGCCCATATGATGTTCCCATTATATGAATTTAAATACAATAGTCACCTTTTATAAACATATTTTATAACTTCAGTTGTTGTGTACATACCATTGAAATATCACTGAATACTATACTATGAGTTAACGAAATGATTTTTTTATCAAATTTTAACGAATATGTTTGATATGTTCAATGTCTTTAAAAAAAGTACTAAAAAGACAGATAATTTTCGAAAAAAAAACAATTTTTGTCTCGTGTTATCCACAAATTCAAATTATATGGTAGACAATAAGGATTTGTTCTATAGTGAGTTGTCATGTGTCGAATCTGAATATTATTTGATGGAAGATCATTAGCGCGACGCCTTGTAATAACATTTTTTGCGTTGTTTCCCTAAATTACTTAAATTTTATTTGGCATTTAAATTATTTTTGATTATAGAGTCACTGATGAGTGTTATGTAGACGAAACCCGCCATTCTGGCGTACAAAACTATATGCCTGGTATCTGATGCTTTTTTTACAACCACTGAGTCCTCTACCATGGAATCACTAGCCTAGTTATCAACACTTCTGTACATGTGTTGACATGAATTATCATTAATATGTGAATATAAATAAATTACCTGTGATCAAAACTTTGTATCGTTCGAAATACTAAGGCTTTTCTACCCTAGGAATATATTACCTAAGCTGTGATTGGTAAAACCTCTTGAAATTTTCTGTCATCAAGTCTCTTTAACTTTGTACTTTAAACATAGGCCTTTCGACCCTTTTTTTATTCAAGCATCACTGATGAGTCTTTTGTAGACGAAACGCGTGTCTGGTGTACATCTTTGATGAATTCTTTGAAAGAGAAAATAGGTCAAAAGCTATCAATACTGTCTTCTGATATATTTTGCTTGCATATTATGCAGTAGAAAATTTACTGGCCATAAAGATTTCACAAAAAAGGTCATAAGGTCTGCAAGCTTGTTAACAACTGAATTTGCAGAAACTACCAATGTAGTCCAATACATGTAAAATGTATGCATTAAATTCAAAAGTCAAAAACTTTTAACTTGTTTGTAATTGTTCATTGAAATCATGTTTTTTTCAACCTAACTAATCACAAACTATGTTAATGCTCAAGTACTGTGTGAAATTTAAGGTAAAAATCCAGTTTTCTTCAAACAAATGAGTTTGTATTAAAAAGTTATGGCATAATGAATGGTATATCTAAATCTCAAGCAGTAAAAAGTAATGATAAAACATATAGATTTCAGCAAATCTAACACGGCTTAAATTTGACTGAACAAATGTGGCTTTAACAAGAACCTTACGAAAAAGAAATTATTTAAGGGGCTTTCCCGTTAACCTTGATGAAAATATTTCAATTGCTATTTAGAAATCAATATATAACTATTCAAATTTAACTGATTACAATTTTTTATTATTACCGTGATCATGTAAGCCTATCTTTTATATCATGAAATATCAATGGAATAACAGAAAATGTTTGTTTGCATAACCTGTCGGATTTTTTAATTGAAGTAAAAGGATAAGCTATGGATACAGTGTTCACATATGTTGATTAACAACTGTAAGTAGAGATGACAGACTTATTAAGAAGGGATATAGTACTAAACTGTTGTTAGGTCTTTAAAATGGCATATTTTGGTTTTAATATTGATTCACTCATAGGGTCTTTGCATCGGAAATAAACACATTTATTCTAAAACCAGTTGTTGGCATGATACGGTTTATGTTCTTCTCGTATATTTTATGATGGTATGATAGTGAACCCCTAACGGGAGGGATTGTACTTGATTTTCATATGATGAAGACATTATCTTTCAATCAGTTTAATTGAGGTCTGGAGCTGGCATGTCAGTAGCTGCTAGTAGTCCCTTGTTAATTTATGTATCATTGTCATTTTGATTAGTTTCTTTTGTTACCTTTTCTGACATCGGACTCGGACTTCTTTTAAATTGAGTTTTACTGTGCGTATTGCTGTGTGTTTGTCTTTTCTACATTGGCTGTAGGTATAGGGGGAGGGTTGAGATCTCACAAAACATGTTTAACCCCGCCGCATTTTTGCGCCTGTCCAAAGTCAGGAGCCTCTGGCCTTTGTTAGTCTTGTATGATTTTTAATTTTAGTTCATTTATATGTTTTGGAGTTTAGTATGACGTCCATTATCACTGAACTAGTACACATTTTTGTTTAGGGGCCAGCTGAAGCACGCCTCCGGGTGCGGGATTTTCTCGCTGTGTTGAAGACCCATTGGTGGCTTTCGGTTGTATTCTGCTCTTTAGTCGGGTCTCTTTGACACATTCCCCATTTCCATTCTCAATTTTATGACTTTACATATGTGAATGCAATACATTAATCACACAATATGTCTTACTTACTTTACAGTCTAGGTTCTGTGCTGAGGTTGTCCTTTTAAAAATATATAAGAAAAGCTATTTTAATTATTCATACGGGTTTTTATGTGCATTGGATAAGAAGACATGTTTTCATAGTTGTGCTTTTTCATTATTATATTGTCATAATAACAAATGATATGGGATATCCATCCATGACACAAAAGCAGTCCATGCACAGCATGAAACACACAAAAATGTCTATCATTTGAACATTTACATTTAACTAATTACAGCTTTCTTATAAGCATGATCGTGTTATCCGTTTCTTCTCTTAAGTGAAATGAATTGGGAGACGGGGCAGAAAAAGATAATTCGCATACATACTTATTGTTGTCTGTCAGTTTAAGTAAAGAAAAGAGAAGAGATAAGTGTTCAGCTTTAAAAAACTATAAGTCGAGATGCATAAAACTTAAAATCCGTCTTTCTGAATGCTATATATTAATCAAACATTGTGTCTTTTTTTAATTATAGTCTGTTGCTTGCCAAGAATAGGCTATCACCTGTGAAGATCAGTGAAAAAAGTATTCTACTGCATATCATATAGGATTTAACGTGATTTCGTGAAGCAGAAATGTTTTCATATGTGGATTGTTTGATTATAACATTTACATGTATATCATTTACCAATGCTGATCAGCACAAATCAGATGAACCAGAATTTGACAAAAATAGAACTTTACAAGAATTAATACAGAAAGTGACCAAAGGACGAAACAAAGAGGTCTTACCTGTCAATAAATCCGGGAATTCTGTTAAAGTCGCTTTTTATTTTCATATGACATATATTCAGGAATTCGATGAAGTTGCCGGTAAGTTAAGCTTAAATGGATATTTTGGAATTCACTGGATAGATAATACTGTATCATGGAATCCTGATATATATGGAGTTTCTTCCTTCACCTTCAACGAAGAACTATTTTGGAAACCAACACTCATAATGAGAAATCCATACGGAACAGTAAAAATACTATATAAAGATAATAATGTGAAAAGAGTACACCACAATGGACAAATTGAGTGGTTCCCCAGCGATTCGTTCGACATTGCATGTCAAGCTGACGTTACAAATTATCCCTTTGATATGCAAACTTGTACTTTATCCATAGTTTTATCGGTATACGACGAGAAAGAGGTAATTTTATGGCCTACAGCTTTTTGGACAGATTGGTTTATTCCTCATAAAACTTGGGATTTGGTTGACACGAATTTTACCCGAATTCCCTTTCCTCAAATTGCTAATTTTCGTATTAGACTTAAACGAAAACCAATGTACTTTGTTTTAAATCTTATACTCCCAATAGTACTCATGTGTATTTTAAATCCTTTTGTGTTCCTACTCCCAGCAGATTCAGGTGAAAGAGTCGGATTTTCAATTACAGTCTTATTGGCCATTGCCGTATTTCTTACAATTTCTGCGTCTAGTCTCCCAGCAATCTCAGATCCACAGTTACCATCATTATCTATTCTTCTCTTTGCTGACGTTGCATTTAGTGCCGTAATTGTTTTATTAGTCATTATAAGTCTACGAATTTATCTGCGTAATGAAAATATTCCAGTGTCATATCTGGGAGAAAAATTTGTAAAATGTTGTCGTGTACTTAGATGTGACTGTAGCTGTAGCAAAGGAAAGAAATACAAAGTCGAAACAAGTAATTACACGGAGAAATATAAAAGCAGTAAAAGTATCGACATCAGTACAAATAAATTGAACATGTCGAACTACCAGCAAAGAAAAGATAGCATCAAAATCAACTCTATAACGTATCAACATAAGATTACATGGAAAAATGTCGGAGAAGAACTTGATTTTGTTTTCGGAACATTTAGTGCCCTTTATATGGTATCGGCACATTTATTATTTTTTGCAGCAGTGATAGATCTTTCTTTATCTCTATAATGCTTGTGTATCTACAATAAGTTTGTCTCCTTGCTTTTATTGAATGTAGATGTAATCCATTACCATTGGTTGTCATTCAATATTGTCAACATTTGAATAAACGTCGTGTATTGTTGAGTTTTTTTTATAGATCATGAATAGGTTTGTCCTTTTAATTATTCCATATTGTGTCGTACCGGAACCTTTCAAAGCTTGTCGTCAAAAGGTATAAGTTTTGTCGATTTTGTAGATGGTGCAGTGACTTACAGTTGTTCAAATCTTTATCATTTAGTTTTCGGATTTGATGGGTCTCGTAATTGCTTGCTATCCTACCCCACTTATTTATACATGTATGAACTATATAAACATTTCTACACAATCATGACAATAATGGAAAGTGAGAACAACTTTCATTTAAATTTGAATATCCTTATCATTATAGAATACTAGTTAGAATGCTAGACAGATCAGGTGCATATATTGTATTATTCAAATTAACGAAGTTTCCTGAGGAATACCGATCCGAATCATTATTACAGCCTGATCTTTTCAGTATCACTAGGTTGATTATGATTCATATTCCTTGACGTCCTTACTTATTTGATTGTTTATCATTTACATTGCCATAGCATTTTCAGTACTTTCGACCTTTTTGAATTTCCTCTTGGTATTTTCGCCTCTCTTTTCCAATGACTTTTTTCTTTGTCTAGGAAGTAATAAAGTCAGAGAACTGAGCACTTTCTTGTACAGAGGCACAATCATTCCAAATTTAACGATCTAACTATGTTGGGTTTTGATCTCAGAAAGCGGAAATATTGTAAGTACCTATATATTTACAAGAACGGCTAGGTTGATATTAGTTTTTACCAATCGCATTCAATGTACAGTTGTCTCTCTTCTATGCGATACACCTTTATTGTGGTGAAAGTACTCATCTTAATTTTCATCAGCGAACTCCACTGGGTTTTCAAGAAGACAAATAATGATGGACAGATAGATAGGTTAATTACTAATTCTGCATAATCGGGTAATTAACGGAGATGTGATGTATTTCTTGTTAGACATGTTACACTTCCGGCCGACATTAGATCTTAAAACCTGGCGATTTGTTTTCTTCGTCAGAATCGTATATTTTCATTCCGATCCCAAGTAAAAAAATCCTTAAAAAAAGAATTACGCAAAAGAAGTTATAATAACAGTACGGGCCAAAAATGAGCATTGCGAACTTCTATTGATGATACAAAAAGCCAAGGTCAAACCAGATTTCATTTGGATCATCGTTATTTCTCATTTTTTTGTTATAACAGAATGTAAATAAGGAGCCCGGATATAAGCAAAAGTTTCCTTAAATAACACTTAAAATTGAGTTTTCTTTCAAGCCCAATCAAATGTAATCATATCTTTTGTAACGTTGAAATAAACGCAGGAGCGTTTTTGTTTCTATTCATTAACTCATGATGGTTTCTGTCAGCAATGAAGATATACATGGAAATGTACTGAAATGTTATTCGATGGCAACTTTTCTGACTGTCTGGTTTATATTAATTACAGATCTTTTTCTTTGGATTGAGATCCAAATGATTCTAAATGGAAGATGATCTTCAAATGAGTATAAAATTTTAATTTAGTATGGATTATAGAATGCCTATATCAAAAATCCATCAAAGGAATTAAATATTGCATTTACTTTTTATGGCCGAATTGTTGTTGATTCAATGTTTTGTTTACATTCCATTAAGAATATCACTTAAAATTTACAACACATTAAAAGTTGTCAAAATGTGACACATAGGAAACAATTATTGCTCAACTTCATATGACATTTTAACACCTAGGTAGAATATATAAACAATGCACCACATAATAAATAATATCTTTTTAAAATGTTTATCTTACAAAAACTTCTCACAAACTTAATAGATTAGTAAAGGCAACAGAGATATACTGCTGTTCAATAGTCATAAATCGATTTAGCTGAAACAAATACGGGTCACAAACCAAAACCGAGGGAAACATTGGAACAACATAAACACTGAACTGCTACAAAAACAAACGACAACATACAAAGAAAGGGACTATTTGATAACAACTGACATATTCTTGACTTGGTACAGGACATTCTAAGAAAGAAATGATTAAACTGGAGGAGCAGATTTGATCTTGTGTATACATATATTCGATTACAATTGTAGAAAAAATAAATTTAAGGCTTTTCTCATGAAAAGTTTGTTAACTGATGAAATTATTTTTGTGTACCAAAACGTATTATAATCCTGTTTGTTAACTGATAAAAGTAATTTTGTGTACCAAAATGTTTTATTATCCTCCGCTTGGTGTTGTATCAAGAATTGGGAAGTCAAAATAAGACATATGGGAAGAAAATAATTGCAGATCTACAAAAGAAATATGTTATGTTAAGTTAAAATAATAATTTTAATACCTATAATGAATATGACAGATACATACAAATACCCCACAGAAGAAATCAGTTCATTTTGATACAAATTTTATTACAAAAACTACTAAAACGCTTGTTATACTGAATTGGCAGAGATGATGTGTTAATAAGTTTGTAGTCGTAATTTGTTCTTGTGGTATACAGACATTCGATTAAAATACTAGAAAGGTCGGTGATAAATCTCATTTGTTATTGTCAGAATCGATGAAAAGAGAATGGGACTTCGGATACGTTTATTGGAACATATCCTTCAGTCATATTTTCAATAAGCAGTGCATTTGTATAAATATATACAATCTAGTTATTGCTACAAAAACACCGGGATCCAAAATGTTACACAATATATCGATTTATTGTTAAATGTTTTTTTACGAAAATGTACAGGTTAATGTTCTTTTTCATTGTCTGAAAAACTAACATATTTAAAGGGTTAATATATCATATTAAAACAAACACTTAATGTATAATTATATTGAGATGATGCTGATATTTGTCTTCACATGCCACCAGTATGACTATCATTGGATAAATTTTCCTGATTCAAAGTGGTTTTAACAGCTAAGTTACTTGAAGAAACTAAATCTAATTGGTTCCTCTTTACTTCGTTAAAAATAACTGTATCGCTTTTTATGAACCAATAAAACTGTTCAAATTCAACTGAATACAACTTCCCTTACTATCGTAATTTAGTCCATCAGTATATTGACATGAAACAAGTATTTGAAATCCCTGTAATTATTGACGGATGTTTTGCGTAGAGTAAAGTAAAGTGATAAGCTGTGGAAGCAAAGTCAAATTTTGATTTAGCTGTAAGTATAGATGACTTTTACATATTCGGATTAATTTGAATTAGATAAAGAATATTGTTTTCAAATGTGTGCCTTATAGATATTACATTTTTCATTTGCAAATTCATATTTACTATTACAATTTCTATATAAGCGTGATTCCGAAACCAAGCTTAATGGGAAAATAGAAAATATTTGTTCGTAAACCTCTCTTACTGCTGTGGGGTAGTTAAAGATGAGTGATGGATAAAGCGTTCAGCTTTGATCAAACTGTAAGTCGGAATGCCTTAAACATCTTAAAATGCGTTCTTGTAAATGCAATACATTTATTCAAAACAAGGATTTTCTTATTTTACAGTCTATCGGTAGCTCGAATAGTCTTAACACCTTTGAAATATCTATGAAACAAAGTATTCCACTGCTTTTCATACGGAATTGACTTGAATTCCTTCAGTAGAAATGGTTTCATATGTGTATTCTATAATTATCACATTGACATGTCTATCATTGAAGAAGGCCAATCAGCACCAAACAGATGAACCAGATTTGAACAAAAATTGGACTGTACAAGACTTGATACAGAAAATGATTACAGGACGAAACAGAGAGATCTTACCTATAAATATATCGGGAGAACCTGTTATAGTCGCTTTTTATTTTCATATGACATATATTCAGGAATTCGACGAAGTTGCCGGTAAATTAAGTGTAAATGGTTATTTTGGAATTCAGTGGATAGACAATACTGTATCATGGGATCCAGACAAATATGGAGTTTCTTCATTTACTTTCAATGAAGAACTATTTTGGAAACCGACATTGGTAATGGGAAATCCATACGGGGCAGTAAAAATATTATATAAAGACGATAATGTTAAAAGAGTTCATAATAATGGACAGATTGATTGGTTTCCTAGCGATTCATTTGACATTGCATGTCAAGCTGACGTTACAAATTATCCCTTTGATATGCAAACTTGTATTTTATCTATTGTGTTATCAGTTTACGATGAAACAGAGGTCATTTTATGGCCTACAGCTTTTTTGACATATTGGTTTATTCCTCATAAAACATGGGACTTGGTTGAAACGAATTTTACCAGAATTGCCAAACCTCAAATGGCAAATTTTCATATCAGACTTAAACGAAAGCCTATGTTCTTTGTTTTCAATCTTATACTCCCAATTGTACTCATGTGTACTTTAAATCCCTTTGTATTTCTTCAGCCAGCAGAGTCCGGTGAACGAGTTGGATTTTCAATAACAGTTTTATTGGCCATTGCCGTTTTTCTTACAATTTCTTCGTCTAGTCTCCCAGCAATCTCAGATCCACAGTTACCATCATTATCTATACTTCTATTTACTGACGTAGCATTTAGTGGCGTAATTGTTTTATTAGTTATTATAAGTCTACGATTTTATCTGCATAATGAAAATATTCCTGTATCATATCTGGGAGATAGATTTGTGAAAATTTGTCGTGTACTAAGATGTGGCTGTAGCTGTAGCAAAAGAAAGAAAGGCAATAATAAAACAAGTGATTACACGGAGAAATATAGAAGCAGTAAAGGTGTTAACATCAGAACAGTTAAATCGAACATGTCGGATTACCAGCATCGAGGAACAAATAGTGTTGAAATCGACTCTATAAGGTCTCAAGATGAAATTACATGGAAAAATGTCGGAGAGGAACTTGACTTTGTTTTCGGAACATTCAGTGCCTTTTATATGGTAACAGCGCATTTATTATTTATTGCAGTAGTAATAGATCTTTCGTTATTTCTATAATTCATGTGAAGCTGTAACAACTATGTCTCCTTTCTTTCATTGAATGTAAATGTGTTCAAGTCGTCCTCGTTGAGTGCTGTATTGATTATTTTTGTTTGTTTTTTGTTTGATTTTTTTTTATATATATATAAGAGGTTTGTGTTTTTAATTATTCCATGTTGTTGTCGTACTAGAACCTTTTAAGGATGTTCACTTATCATGTTTTTGACTTTGCCAGATAATTTAAATCCCCTGGTTTTATCCATGTGGTGCCATTAAAATGTTTTGTACGCTAACCCTCACCTTTCTTTTCATAATTTTATTACATATAGTTTAAAAAGCTATTGTTTTAAATCCTTTTAATTTTTTTCATAATTTTTAAAAGAAAAAAAGTACCAATGTTAAGTGAATGAAATATCAAGAGAGAATCATGTACCGCCAAATTTTCAATAGCTTATATCTTTAAACCAAGGACACGGACCTTTCATTTTTTTCTGTTATTTAAGTTCTGTTATAGATATACTCTCAATCTATAACAGTCTATACAGAGTAGCGAACATCCTTAAAGCTTATTATACTGTATGGGTTTTGCTCATTGTTGAAGGCCGTGCGGTGACCGGTTATTGTTCAAATCTTCGTCATTTAGTTTTATGTTGATAGTTATCTCATTGTTATCATACCACGCCAATATTTTTATGATTGTACTGTATTGGCACTACAACACAATAATGGAAACAACGTTTATTTAAGTATTCTTGTCATTGTGAAATAGCAGGAATGCTAGACAATGCAGCTGTATTGCAGGTCAGATGCATAAATGTATTATCCAAATCACATGTCTTTTGCGAATTTCCCAATGAGTTCGGTAATGTTTCAACAATGACGACAACCATGATTTTTGACGTTTTTTTTTAATTTAAATGATGAAAAGAAACAGACGAGATGTTTTAATGTTGTTTCAGAAAAGTTCAAAAGCAATCAACTAAAATTGTGCCCTCTATACTGATTCTTGAACTCACATACTCAAAGGCTAGTGATCACAATAGAGGAACTACCTAGACAACTCGGCCACTCTACTATTGTGCATGCATATAGCAGCATATTTTGATGGTCATACAAAACGAAAATAATTCTGCAAATTATATACATATGTTCTTATTAGGAAAATTGAAAATGCACAGAATGAACTTTACTTTGCTTTTGCAGAAATTATGCCACCAAAAGTACTAGTATGTATCTTTGTATCATTTGTACAATTATTTTGCATTAATAGTCTGAAATATATGCCACTTTACGCTTCAATAAATGAGAACAGAAACAAGACAGAGTGCATAGAACCTTGACATTCTTCCTTATCACCAGCATATTATCAAAATAAATTTATTTTGCGAATAAACACGACTTTCGGAATAAAAAATCGTTATAATATATATTCATATATCATATATATATATATTATATTCGCGAAGTACGAATAATGTATTGATGGAACAGTAAACAACAGAGTGGTTGTTTCATTGCCGTTTTAATACAATATAAAGAAACCCATCAATAAAGAATTAAGACCAACCAGCCCCGATCAGAGCCAAATCACCAGCACATTAAATTATATCGCAGGTCAACCTAAGTCACCGTGATTTATTGAGAGAAAGCTTCGCATACATTCCAAGCAGTTCCTGTAAGGTCATGAGTTAAACTTTTTTTTTACTTTATCATAATTAAACAACTGTTTCATCAAAAACATGACACAAGTCGTTTAAAGTGTGTCAACAGGAGTGAAATTGATTGCCTTATACACCGCCTTGCTAGTCTCATAGTAGCGTGGGTGCATTAAAATGGAGAGGTATGCATTTCATTCCATACATTAAGCATACAGTTTCTCTTTCTTTTCGACAAGCGTACGAGCTTTTCGGTTCGGGATCAAATAAAGGTGACCATTTACTTATTTATTGGATCTTGTTGCAGTTTAAGCTTAAACGTTATAATCAAATAATTTTAAAATTATTAGGTAACGCTTATCTTGAGATCTGTTCTCGTTTGTCAACATATGTTTTGTAATAAGTTTACATGTCTGATAGTTTATTTAACCTCCTGTTACTGTGACTTGATTATAGGTGTGGCTGTTTACCTTAACCTATTGTTCAGCCAGATTGTAAAATTGACAATACAGTTGGGACATTTAAATTGACCAGTTGGTATTGTTAGAGTTGAGGCTACCTTGATGCTACTTGTACTATTTTTTATTCACCTAACCCAACCTCACAGCATGCTTTTTCTTCGCCTAGGGTTATTCTATTACAAAATTGACAGGAAAGAAAATATTATGTGTTCATTGTTATAAATGCCCAATATAGTTGGTTAATCTAATTTTGACCCACAAATCTAAATCAGTAAAAGATTTTCTTAACTGCATGTTAATATGACGGATTGATTTGTATGAAAATTTAAACTGTTTTACATAGTTAATTAATCTTTAAATGTTTAACCTTTATACATTATATATATAGTATTGTCCAGTTGTCTATGAAACAAGAAATAGCTATTCAGGGGTTTTCAGTTGCAGTTTTCAGATGGTTATGTTATGCATTTGTTCATATGTCTCTTCAATTGTTTTTCATTTTGGAGTATTATTCAGTGTTTGAAATCTTTTGGAATCAATGTGCATACAATATTGGGATTTATTTCATTTGAATTCACTTCTTGGATGCCATCTTATTTTGTTTCTTAAAATGTGACTTGTTTTTATCCAAGAATGGATTGTCATGAATGTATCAAGGAAGAAATCATTCATTCAAAATATGTTGTGTGGCATTCACATGATGATGTACAATGTACATGTAAAATTCGAAATAATTTTGGAGTATACCTTGCATTGTTTTCTTTGAAATCTATTAGGATTTTTGTGCATAAAAATACTGTGTTTACGCAAGGGAATTCACTTTTTATAAGATCTTATAGGTAAAAAAAATTAAAACTTGAATGCAAGTAGGAGACATAAGTTTATCCAAGATGTATGTGGCTATTAAATGTGATTTTGAAAATAATCATTATAAAATTCTGGATCTAATATGTAGATGATTCACCTGTTCAAATGGGATATATATCATGGAAATGAAATAAAATGTGAATACAGTGGATATTGTCGAATCTAGTGATAAAGTGAAAAATAAAAGTAAAATATTCCAAAAAATTTCATAACGTGAGGATAACAACTTTAAATGTGATATTGGAAATAATCATTATAAAATTCTGGATCTAATATTGTTTAATTGGGACATATATTATGGAAAATAACAAAAAACACTGAATACTGGGGATAAAGTAAAATCAAGTGATGTAGTGAAAAACATACATAAAATATTCCCAAAAATCTGTAAAGTGAAGATTATTATTTTGTATGTGATATTGGAAATAGTAAAAAACTACAAAATTCTGGATCTAATATAAAGACTCTGCACCTGTTTAATTAGGATATATATCATGGGAAATTAAACAATATACTGTGGATATAGAAAAAAATCAAGTGATATAGTGAAAAATGTAAGAAAATATTGCAAAAGGTTATTAATATTAGGAAAATATCTTAAAATTATTTCAAATAGTGAAACTGGAATACTGGATGGGAAATTAAATATCAGTGTCAATAAATGAATAAATAAATAAATAAATAAATAAATAGATAAATAAATAAATAAATAAATAAAACAGATTATTCATAACTATTATTTTGATATTTCACTATGCATAAGCATAAGCCAAGGCTCGTGTCAATAAGTATGGAACAAATATGTAAATGAAGGAATGCATACCTTTGTTCTGGTGTTTATTATTCCTTGAAAATTAATGACATTTTAAAATATTTAAAATTTCCACAAGATTAAAAAAAAACATTTTGTATTATCTCCCATTAGAAAAGGCCAAAGAGATAAAAGGGGTCTTTTCAACAATATAAAAGAGATTCAAGCACTTTAGTATTTGGCTATGAAAACATTTAGAGGAAATGAAGAGCATTATATGACATGCAATTAAATACCCTGCAAGAAAAAAAAAAACATAAAACATACTTGTTCTGGCTTACTCACTCCTAAAATTTGAAATGACAGTAAAATAAAAATCTCTCTTTTTCTTTCTAAATGTTGTGTTTCTATGGCAATCGTATAGCCGATTACTTAAAGGTATGCATTCATTTCAATGACAAAAGACTTTCATTACAATGTGTATTTCCTTTAATTTTTTAAGGATTCACTAAAGAAAAAATAGAGAAATGAATTTTTTTTTTAAAAATCATCAGTATTTAGCAAATATTAAAGCATGAAATCAGTTTGCAAAATGGATAACTTTTGAAAGACATATCCCTGTTACATTACAATATTTACAATTGAACAGAAGAGTGATGGGACAGCATCCAGGAAGACTTTAAATGCATGAGTGATCATCTATTCCTCAACTCTGAAAATACCAACTGGTCAATTTAAATGTCCCGATTGTATTGTCAATTTTACATCTGGTTGAACAATAGTTAAGAATTGGATGCTTCTTTTTGTAAATTGAGTGGGGTGTAAAAGCGTTGACCGAAGTACATTTTGTACGAAGCGCCGCGCTTCATACTAAAAATGTGCGCACGGTCAACGCTTTAACAACCCTATACAATTACTTAAAGAAGCATTCAATACTTATAATTACATTTTTTTGCTCGGATCATGAGAACACGATTTCTATCAAATTTTTCTTTTATTTACCTGTGCAATTTATTGTGGAAGCTCGTGTCATCATGAATGTTACATTTCATTTTGAAATGAAGGTTAATTTCAGAATGACACGAGATTGCTGTTAGCCAATCAAAATAACGTATCATCATGAAACATACATGTAATGTAATTATATAAAGGTGAATAGCAACAACTATAGTCAAGTCACAGAAGAGCTTTCTTACAAATTGATGAAAGGTACGTCGTTTTAAGGATCCTTTATTTTTGACATATTTATGTAATCTTGATCGAAGCGTCATGAAACTTCGATGGTGTTTCACCTAAATGTTTGCCTATTAAGGACCATTTTACTGCATGCAGCGACACGTGTTAAACTTGATTTTTCGTAAGATATAGGAATTTCGGGACGTGTGAAAGGTAAAAAAATAATACCACCAGGGGGAAGGAGATAACTCTACAAAATTTCCTAAATATAGGGTTGTCAGAAGAAAAAAAAAACCTCTAAAAATAAAAGATTGTGCTCAACCTCATTGCGACCCCAAAAACAATAAAATGAAAATCAATGACCTCCAAAACATATTATGTCGTGGCTCGTTTAATAACTTGCAGTGATTCCCAACCTCTCCCTGGTTAATACCCAATGTTGCCTTATGATGTGTCCATACATCCGTATAATTGCGTTTTCGTCCTGAACATTCATGAAATATTTGTCACTGGACGTTATGCGATCGATAATCATCAATCTTCCAAGCATGTTTACTGTTTAATCGTCATTATTAAATCCAAAATATATACAGTGCAAGATTGTAGATTTATTTTCTTTTTGGTGTACATTTAAGGGTTAAAATGTGTATGCTAATGAACAACTCATTCTCTATAATTAGTTGATCTATAATTATAGCTCAAGGGCGGATTTAGGAGTGAGGCACACACGAGTGCATCTACTTAGCAGACAAATTCCTAGCCTCCTATACTAGATCTTCGCCTTGGTCTATTATATACAACTAAGTCAGAGATAGAGCGGTTTAATTTTCCGTCTTTTCTTTGAGTGTAACTTGTTTGTTTTTTTACTTTTTTTTTCATTTGATGCTTGTATCAAACTTTACTTGCATCGATGTTGATGATTTGTTAATTTACTGTTGTCTCGTGGACATTTATCCGATATCTAACTACTAGAAGTTAAATCAAAGCTGTTTGTGAGGGTGTGAGTGTGTTAATTGTCCTCCCCTTACCCATAGAATTGCCATTGTATTTCACATGTTCGTTCGTGTTTACATCTTCTGTAAATGCTTAATGCACCACTGATTGGTCTACAATTATTAGTTGATTAAAACAAATTAACGGCGTGTAAATGAATGATCCCAAATCAGTTGCGTATCAAGCATTAACTGAAGATATTACTAGTTGAAAAAAACAGACCATGAAAATCATCTGTAGAATACTAAGGCAACGACCATTAACTTTTAAGGGGGTATAGTATTTGTTCCTTTTCACATTTGTTTCCTGCGACCGCAAGAGTCACATTACTTTTTTCACATTTAACCTTAACATTAATAGAAAAAAACTTCATCGCAAAAGCTTTTTTCCCAGATTTATTTCACATTACTTTTTCAAAACATTCTTGCAAATCTCGGTGATCCACGTTGACAATTTGATGATAGCATACTCATTAAAAATAAAAATAATTGTGAATGTTGTCGTTGAATTTAGAGTATCATACTCAATAATTTCATTGAAATGTTAATGATGAAACGCATGCATAAACAACTCCCGCGCAAATGTGTGTAATCGTGGTTATCATAAGTAAAGTATCGGACGTAAGTGTATTTGAAACTATTTTTCTTTATTTTCAGATATTAAAAAAAGCGTGTTTTTTTTGGGTTTTTTTTCTCTTTGTTTTTTGTTTTTTTTTTTTTTGCGATATGCTTAAATTTTTAAAGATCCGTTTGATTCAGAAAAGAATGCTGTTTTACCGGAAAAAACAAAGACTCAAAGTGTTATCGCGGAAATGTAATACATGCTCCCTTTACGTTCGTTCGTACCTTTCGTCAATATGTAAGAAAGCTCTAGTAATAAGAAACTAGTATCGCTGATCAAAATCTTATTAAGGCAACAGTCTTCACAAAATTTTAAATATATTTATAAAACAAAACGTTTAATAAAAACTTTTACTTTGTATCAGTATCTGTAAATGTAATTAGCGTTATACATGTACATTAATGTCAAATCGAGTAGACTGCCAGCAAGTGGCTTACATCGGACGAGTGTGGTTAATTTTGTGACTGTCTCCCATGAAGGATCGCAGTAACTGTTTTCCTAACTGTTTTGGGTATTGCTTGATATTTATGATAGTTGACGTCTATCTTTAAATACTGTTGACACGTCATATTGGTTGCTTAATATCTTTATATTTTTCAGGATACAGATTTATAAAAGCCTTCTAAATCCCATACTAGTATTTGACTTCTGTGTATAATTGTACTATGATTTCATTGTTATTATCTCTCTTTCAATTATAAAATTAATACAGTTTGAACTAAAAAGAAATTAGAACATAGTAAGTTCTAAATATAAATATAGGCAAAATAACCATGATAACCCCTGTTCATGTCTACTGAAAATTTTAACCCTCGGCTTCGCGACAGGTTTTAAATATTCATAATAGATCTATGTTTAATCTGCAAGTGGTTCTGAAAAATTCATTAACTTAATGGGATTAACAAAAAAAAAAACAAGATTTCACAAATTTTATCAGGCACAATTAGTTTAAATAATAGAACGTTCAAAATCTCCCACAAGTAAACCTCATGGTGAAGATATGAATAATAGTGTTAAATGCTGATCTTTGCTGTAATTTGAGACTCTACTTAAGTAATTGAAGTGTGAATACAATATTTAAATCACATGTTTTTTTTTTTCTTTTTTCACAGTAGTTCAGGTACATTCAGTAGTATAACGCTTAAAAAATATATATGAACTGAAATGATTAATTTACTTCATTTTTGATGGATTTTAATGTGGATTTGATCAAGAGAAATGTTTTCGTTTTTATGCTCTATCATTTTAACCGTGACATGTCTTTTACTTGTTAATGCTGATGAGGACATTGCAGATGAGCAAAAGGACATCAAATATAAGACTTTACAGGAATTATTTCAGGAAGTGACAACGGGACGAAATAAAGAGGTCTTACCTATCAATGAAGTGGGGGAACTTGTCATCATTTCTTTTTATTTTCATTTGACTTATATTCAGGAATATGATGAAGTTGCTGGAAAATTGAGTTTGAACGGATATTTTGGGATACAGTGGATAGATAAAACTGTATCATGGGATCCTGCGGAATATGGAGTTTCTTCTTTTACTTTCAACGATGAACTCTTCTGGAAACCAACACTTTCGATGTCAAATCCTTATGGTGCGTTGAAAATTTTATATAAAGATGACTCTGTTAAGAGAGCGCACAGTAATGGACAAATTGACTGGTTTCCTGGAGATTCATTCGATATAACATGTCAGGCTGACGTTTCGGATTATCCTTTTGATACACAAACATGTACTTTAGCTTTAGTTTTATCAGGATACGGTGATAATGAGGTAATTTTATGGCCTACGGCTTTCCTTACGGATTGGCTTGTTCCACATAAAACATGGGATTTGGTTGAAACGAACTTTACCAGAACTCCCTTTCCACAGGTCGCCAACTTTCATATGAAACTTAGAAGAAAACCTTTGTTCTTTGTTTTCAACCTTATACTACCAATAGTCCTGATGTGTCTTCTCAACCCTTTTGTCTTTTTTCTACCAGCAGATTCCGGAGAACGTGTTGGATTTTCCATAACAGTATTATTGGCTATTGCGGTATTTCTAACAATTTCCGCCTCTAGTCTTCCAGCAATCTCAGAACCGCGGTTACCGCTTATATCAATTCTTCTCTTTGCTGACGTAGCATTTAGCGGTATTATCGTAATACTTGTAATTATAAGCCTGCGATTCTATCTGCGTAGTGAAAATATTCCTGTGTCATATTTGTGGGAAGGATTTGTGAAGATTTGTCGTATATTGAAATGCGGTTGCCGTTACACTAAAAGGAAGAGCGATAACGGTAAAAACAATGAGTATACATACGAACATGGAGAATATGACAGTTTCAGTATCAGTAAAATCAAACTGTACAGTTCGGAAAACCAGTATCGAGGAACCGATAGTGTCGAAATCAACTCCATTATGTCTAAAGACGAAATTACCTGGAAGAACGTCGGAGAGGAACTCGACTTTGTTTTTGGCACAATTAGTGCCCTTTATATGGTAACGGCACATTTATTATATATTCTTGACGCTGTAATAGATCTTTCTCTATTGTGATCTTATACTGTGACATATATCTCTCAACTTTCGGTTAATGTCAAATACTACAAACGTTTTTGTATCATCCGTGCCTTCAAGTCTGTGTATTGTTAGTTATTCAAGCTATTGTATCCCTTCCCTAATTTGAAAATCATTGATGATAAAACAAAAGGAATATTTTCTTGCTTGAAAGTCCTGAAATAATCCAAAACTGATGTCCTCACCACTAATATATGGCAACTTGCTCTTAGAAATAAGATTGCTTTTTTCTTTATTGAAATCTTGCTCTCGGTAATTTAAAGTATTTTTGTATGATGTTTTTTCACCATTGTTTTCTCTTTAATTTTGTTGTCTGTTGTAGCGTTTTTGTTTTTTTTTTTTTGTTTTAGCGCGTTTTTCGTGATCGATTTTAATTTTCCGTTTTTCTATATGTGTTTTATTATTCCCCTTGTCAATATTAAACGGGGAACTGTAAAATGGTTGCAAAACTAGTTGACCCCACCATACTTTCATGTACCTGTCCAAAGTCAAGTACCTAACCATGGGTGTATATAAAAATAAACGTACGTTCTTGTACCTGCCCAAAGTCAGGAACATCGTCATGTGTGTATATAAAAATAAACGTACGTTCTCTTACCTGTCCAAAGTCAGGAGCCTTATCATGGGTGTATATAAAAATAAACGTACGTTCTTGTACCTGTCCAAAGTCAGGAACCTTATAATGGGTGTATATAAAAACAAATGTACGTTCTCGTACCTGTCCAAAGTCAAGATCCTTGTCATGGGTGTGTATAAAAATAAACGTTCTCGTACCTGTCCAAAGTCAGGAACCTTGTCATGGGTGTATACACAAATAAACGTACGTTCTCGTACAAGTCTAAAGTCAGGAACCTTGTCATGGGTGTATATGAAAATAAACGTACGTTTGTGTACCTGTCTAAAGTCAGGAACCTTGCCATGGGTGTATATAAAAATAAACGTACGTTCTCGTACCTGTCCAAAGTCAGGAGCCTCGTCATGGGTGTATATAAAAAAGGAGATGTAATATGATTGTCATTGTATATCAATATCGTAATATAATTACTAAAACATAAAAAAAAAGTTTTGAGGTTTTAAATTAGTTTGTCGTAACCATGACAGTCTCTTATTAATGTATTCAATATTCGACTCGAGTGAGTTAGAGATAAGCATTTTTTATACACAGTTGTTGAGGATGATAAAAAAAATACCTATCCCACTGCTATCAAAGATTACTCCTCTCCTGGCAAAGTCCATGTTTTACTGAGGGACAAATCATAAACAATTTTGATCAAAAATACAAAAGAGGAGGTGCACATTAACATTATATATGGGGAAGATTATGAGAATAACATGTAATAAAGGGATTAGGAGGATACATACAAAAAGGGTACCTCCTATTAATATGAATATAATGTGCAGATATGTCGAAGACCACGTATCCCAATTAAAGTAAACCCTAAAAATCATTCAGATGAAGAAATGAAATTAGAGATTCAAGAGTATATCAAGCGAGTTAGATTCTTTGAAAGTTTCATAAAATTCTGTCAAGCAGGTCAGGAGCAGATAAAAAAAGTTAGACAGAAGGACGACCAAACGAACGGACGAACGAAGGGACGAACAATTCAATTATCGGACGGACGAACTTCCCCGCCATTATAAACAACTAGCTTTAGAAGGCAGGGGTATAACTATGTTGATCAGCAAATATCTTTTCATTTATGTTTTTAACATATTGAATGTGTATCTTGATAAATTATATTATCTAATTTTACAAATAAAATAGTCATAACATTTAACAGATGCAAGAATCTTTTTTTATTAACTTTTAAGTAATATCAAGTTTTTGACTTCACTTGAACAACAAAAAGTTACATAATGGAATTATATAAAAACTAAACAAAAGAGAGGCGCGGAAGATACCAATGGGAAATTCAAAACTCATAAGTCGAAGAGAAACTGCCAATGCAAAATAAACACAAAAAAATCGAAAGACGACGAAAAAAAACAAACAATTCACAAAACAATACTTTAAATACTAAAGACCTAGCAACACGAACCCCACCATAACCTAGATGTGTTCTCAGGTGGTCCCGAAGTGTAAGTATATTCTGCTTAAGACTTTGCTTTTAAAGCCATGACTGGTATCTTGAATTTTTATAAGTATTTTGATGGAGGTTTTTCAATTGTTCTTTTTTTTTTTACTTATAATGTTGAAAACTGGGTTTCTTTACACAAGCAGGACTGAAATCTTACAAAATGATACGAAACCAGTTTTCAAGGAATCGCCCAATTTAATACTGTGTTTATGTTCATAGTTACTCTAAACAGTAAGAATCATACATATCTTTGAAATACATTTTTGATTCTGAGTACAAATAAATCAATAAATTGAATACTGTAAACCAACTTATTTTCGCGGATACTTTATTTAGCGTTTAGCCCTTTCTAGCCCATTTCGCCACGATTTAATTTCGCTATTTTCAAATTTACTTGATTTAATTGAATAAGGAAATATACAAGTTTTACATATTTGCGTTATTTTTCTACTCGCAAAAGACGCGACAATAAATCGCTCGCAAAAATTAGTTGGTTTACAGTATAATTACTGATAAAGTTTTCCAACAACCACTGTTATCTCAGTTATTTAAAACAATTTAATCAGATATTTTATTGGTATCTTTTTTATGACATTAAACCCATATTACAAAGCAAATCTGCTGGACTATATATGTAGGACTCGGAGGGGCGATTGGGACGTTGAAGTGCAATGGTAACGCTGAAGTGCGATGGTAAGCGCAGAAGTGCGATGGTAAGCGCCGAAGTGCGATGGTCTGTTCACTGATGTGCGATGGTCTATATGACGGGTGATGGCTAGTGAAAATCTGCAGCTGTGCAATTATTATGAGAAGTAGACTTTTTTAATAGTTACAGTAGTAGATTTGCATTTGTTATTGTCTATTGGTGTCCTTAGTTACAGTTGCATACTTAATGTGAGATAGTCCTCTTTGATTTCTGCATGTGGAAAAACTACTACGTTAACAAACATTCTTTACTTTGTTTCTCTC